ATAACGGGTTATATCAGCAGAGCCTTTGTCTTTTTTTATTTCTTCATCACGATGAGTATCTTTCTCCCTTCAGAGCACAGCTGGGATACCGAACCACGTTCTCTCCTCTCGAGGATATTTCTTTGACAACCCTCGACGGTACGACAGTGACGATGACCTAGCGTGGAGCATCCCTCCCCAGAATGCATCAGCAAGGTATGAGCACCATCACTGACGTCAACATGTCCATGCTGTTATAATATTTCTAAATGTATATGATGTCCATTATCCATTATGCATGGATAAATAATACTAATAATAATATGTAAAATAATATAAAATAAATATTAATACACATAAAATAAAAGATAATAATATAATAATATATAAAATAAAAATATATCAAATAAATAATAATATATAACATATACAAATAATAATAATAATAATAATAATAGTATTCAAAATATATAAAAAATAACAGAACAATTTATAGAATAAAAAAAATTGATAACAATTATTAATAATAATAATAATAACAAGTAGTAGATGAAGGAATGAACCCTCTGACCTGTCCTCTTCTCTCCGACAGTCTTTCCTCCGACTGCTACGACTGGGGCAGTCGCCACAGCAGCTTCACGGTTCACACCAACGGAGACGAGCAGCGCCTCACTGCCGGGGGAGGGGAGCTGCACCCTTACCCATAATGCCCCTCTTCAATGTACAGCACCACTCTGCACTTTCACACCGATCAGTTATTGTGTTTCTTATCATAACTGATGTACAAGTTTGTAGAGAATTTAGAGAAAATACCTGAATGTTCAGCAGGGTTCCTACACAGACAAATCGGGTTTCTGCTTTAATTACAATATATTAATACAGCAGCACAATAACAGTTACACATAATACAATAATACACAATAACACACCATTAGTGTTTCACTGCTAACACTTGCCACAATCCATCTGGCTATTTTTTACAGTATACATTTTTACAGTATACATTTACAGTATGTCGAAATTCTGATGCTACCGTGATTTTCTTATCAAACACACTAATAGATCAAGTTATGATAAGTTGTTTAGATATTTTAAGTGACAAAATGAGGCCTAGTGGTTTAAAGAAAACCCAAATGTTGCTGTTTCAAATTTGGGAAAGATAAATCGTACAAAATGTCACCTTAATGTCGACCGTATCTAGTGATATATGTAGTTTAGTGCATCCTAAAAGTCGAATTTCATCCAGTACTGCAGCTTCACATTGTTTTTAATAATTCAAATCGGTTCATGACGTTTGATCAGAAATGATCGAGAGTCAGTGAAGGCCTTTACAAACCAGCCATTACACAATCATGCATAAAATAAATGCCTTTTTTCCTCACATCGGATTCAGAATCAGAAACAGGTTTATTGCCAAGTAAGTTAACTCTTATGAGGAATTTGTCTTGGTGTACAGACGAATTCCTCATACCTCATAAAAAGTAAGAAAACCAACCAACAAATTAAATAAAAACAATTGATACTATTATACAAAGTACTTGGAATAATGAAATACATCAAATATGTTCAGTATTGTTATGGAAGAGAGTGAGAGGTAGCTTGTGTAGTGTACACATGTCCAACAGTATTTGGAGGGTTTTGCAGAACAGGCAATGTATCAAATGTATAAAAGACTGAGCCTACAAGAGTGCATTTTGCATGGTAGGTCCCCTTTAAATGAACCTTGTATGGCCTCTGCATTTTTTCCACATATTTGCTCTTTGTGAAAGTATTGATCTCAAAAAAGTAAGACATGAGACATAAAACAGTTATAAAGTGAGTTGCTTGCCTGAACTCTGTGTAGGAGCCCCGCTTCAGTTCGTAGACGGTGTCGTGATGAATGTTTGAGAGAATGTATCTTGATCTTTTGGGGAGTTTTTCAGCAAGTAAGCCAAATAAATCTACCTTTATTTTGTTTAATTAACAATTATCCTGACTTAAAAGTACGGTAGGTAAGAATGGAGAAACCAGCTCGAGTGCGCTAGAATTTGAAAGTACGAAGCCGAAAGAAATCTGCCTCTTCCTTCAGACTTCTTCACAGAGCCCCTCCTCCAACACACATGAACGCGCACATGACCAATGAGGGCACGAGGTAAGTTTGTGCACAGATGGAAGGCTGACAGGCAGGTAGGCCATCCAGTTACTTTAGCCGGGCCGGCTCAGATGACTGGTCGTGCTTTTTACAGCACTACGGCTTCCACAGATGAACATTTTTGTATGTATTTATTGTCAAAGCATTTAATGTATTAATTGCTATCGGGATGTTAAGAGCATTCCATGGAATATAACAAAAAGTGTTTCTGAAGTGAATTACCTACCCTACCTTTGACTCAAACCAATTTTCCAAATGTTCAATTTCTTGCAGTTTTTCGATCATGTACTCAAGGCACTTTGAAAATTAGCAATTGCACAAATATCTGAGACAATCTGACAGGGTAATACAAGTTAATTCAGTTTAGTTTTTAATATTAAACTCTTCCTTTAAGTTTGAATTTGTATCTGGAGGCTGACAGAGAAATAATTACATTTCCTTATCTGAATAATCCCTGAAAACTCCCCGGGTCATTTTTTAAGTTCTTGACTGTAAAAAGATAGATCAAAGTAAAACTATATATATTATAACATACACACACTCAACACACACATCTGAACTGTTCAATGATTCAGCATAATCAGTATCCTGTAAATATAAATAACAAGAGAGCTGAACACCTGTGTTGTATTGATGGTCACCTCAAAATATCCAAATATTAACAAATGATGTAATGTTGGGTTGGACTTTGAGTAAAAAAAATAAAATGTAATAATAATGTGGAAAAACATGATTTTGAGGTTCAACCCATCGTTACATTTTTGTTAATATGAGTTTTGTTTTGCGGTTGTTCACATTTCTGTAACAATGTTCAGAAAAAAAGTCTATATTTCTAAAAGACGAACATTTTTCTAAGTTATTTGTAAAGAGATTGTGCATTTTGTTGTGGAGCTCTTTGTTTGTGTGATTGTGGTTATCGTGTTTGTGACACTACAATAAAATTGCCATAACGGACATGCATACATTTCATTCTTACCTCGTGACTTAATTTCATCACTCAGTACTTTGGGTTTTTAACTTTTGAGTTTGAAGCTTCAAGTTTGGCATCTTGCTGCCGCCATCTTGTTTGTTTGCTAACCAGAAGTGAACCAGAGGATAAAGCGAAGTACAACCAAAGGCTGAAAAAGGAACATTTTTAGGGGAAAAAAACATTAGTTACATTTTATTTTCGGAAACATACCGTGAAAATAATTAAGTTGTAAGACGAGAACATGAATGGGCCCGAAAACACGAATAACACAGCGGTAGCAGCGGTAGCAAAGTAGCGCCGCCCTTAATCCTGGTTACCCTGGTTTATTGTATATTTTAAGTTAAAAGGGACCAAGAGACTGAGAGTGGTGCAGTGATGACAAATAATATATTTCATTCATCGAATCAAGAAGACAAGAAGCTAATTTCGTTTTAGATTCATGCACCACTATAAATATAAAAATATCCTGTTTGGAAGAATTGAAACTAGAATTTGAGACCCTAAACTCATCAGGAAGAGTTTGGGTATTGATTCACTAATTATTTGAGCAGTAAGGTCATTTCCTTAAAGTGCACCTATCATGCTATTTTTTTTCTTCTCAAAAGTGCTGATTTGGGGTATAAAGCTTTAAAACAAACACAAATAAATTGATAAAATAAAAAAGGAGGGGGCTGAGCTCATGCGGGACCCGGCAGCTACTGTCTAAACTAAACACTGCCGTGATGAAACGCCATATCATGGATTATCAAGGATTATTTCTGAAACAGTATGGAGCTCGAAGGCTTTCTCTCTTGCTTCTTCACACACATGCTCTCCAGTACAGGTTAGCTCTGAGTGTTAGCGATGCTAATGTAAACACCGACCATAATGTAGGCTGGCTTTACACCCGCGGCCCTATCAGAAACGTTGCTATCAGAAACAATGCCCGACTGTTTTGGACGTAATATGGTCGGTGTTTACATTAGCATCGCTAACACTCAGAGCTAACCTGTACTGGAGAGCATGTGTGTGAAGAAGCAAGAGAGAAAGCCTTCGAGCTCCATACNGCCCCGTCTAAGACACGAGTGTTTCGTCAACTTAATGTCTTGCTTAAAATATACTTCTGCATACAGTACAGTATGTGACACTGTGAGTGTTGCACGGCCAGATACGGCTCAGCTGACTCAGATAAGGAAATATATGATATATTATGATGTGATATGAATGATAATGGGACACATCGACGTCTGCACTCACAGTGCCGCGGACTGTAATGTTACTTTGATCCGGTTACTTGTGTTGTGGCAGATATTTAATTAAGCTTTCTTAACGCTAATGTTATAATAGTCAGATTGCTCTGAAGATGGGAGGTGATATTCTATTAATGTTCACGTTCACAGTCAGTTGATTTTTGCCGGCCGTCTTTCCTGCAACGACAGTTTTTCTGCAGTTCCTTGTAATATGACTTGATAGCTTTAAACTCCGCACACTGAGCTTTGATTGGTCAGCAGGCGGTGCTTTCACTGAGTTGATCTCTTATCCTTGAACCTAACCTGCTCCGGAGCAGGTTAGCCGTTCAGCACAAGTTACCATGGAGATCTAGCCCGGTAAAAAGAGAACCAGCGTCGTAGGACCGGAAACCCAGAGTTTCCCCTGAAGCTCGCTAAACGAAAATCCGGCTTCGTAGTACAGGCCTCTGGTCTCCTTTGAACTAGAGGAGCTCATTGCCAACCTCTAAAACATCTCTTTCAGACTTGTTAAAAGTTAAAGCTCTCTGAACCTTTTTAATATATTTGACTTTATGAGGACACAAGACCGAACTAGCCAATTCAAGTTGGGTTCAGGCACATTAGAGCCAAATAATTCTGCTGTATAGATGATTTTACTGAAGCAGAACCAGAGCTTTCTCACAGTTTCCCCTTGTGTTGTTTGATGTGCAGACGCAGGGTCTGGGCACCGCTCTGAAGATCCTGTTCTCTGAGAAGGAGATCCAGAACCTCCCGGAGCACAGCCCGTCTAAAGGCTTCCAGCTGACCCGGCAGGAGATCGTGGCCTTACTCAACGGGTTCGGCAGGTAACATCGCTGCTCTCAGTCAAGAACAAGAAACTCAAGAACTAGCATTTTTTTTTTTTAAAGTGAAGGCTAATTGGTCCTCTCTCTCTCTCTCTCTCTCTCTCTCTCTCTCTCAGGTTGTCCACCAGCATTCAGCAGCTGCACAGTTTCCGCCTGCTGTTGAAGGACAACAGGTAACAGCAGGTGATCTCACCTGGCCAGTAGGAGGCTCCGCCCCCAGAGACCTGCAGGAGTCTAATCCAGCCAAGAAAAAGGCCTTTTTCATGGACATCAGGATCAGCAGTGAACCATTAACACCTTCTTCTTCTCCTTTCTATACATCTTCCTCCTCCTCTTCCTCCTCCTCCTCTTCCTCCTCCTCCTCTTCCTCCTCCATCTGGCAGGTCTTGAATGTTAACTCTCGCCCCCTCTTGCCTACGTCAAAAACTCCCAACGTTTTTCTTCTTCTTCTTTCTGCTGTAAATCTTGTCGGCCATTGACAAACCTTTTCCATTGTTTTATTCTGCTTTGATACGTTGACCTGTAAAATCAGCAGGTGTTCTGTGGTGTTGGTCAAAGCCGGAGGAAATGATCCATAGTTTGGAAGGAAGTGACGAAACTGACCAAATTTGACATGACAGACTTGGAACGCCGGGACCTGGAAGTGTGTCCAACAGGAAGTGAATTGAATGTTTCTTTCCTGCTGACCCCGCCCTCTGCTGACATCACACCCTGTTGGATTTGCACTCACGTGAACCCGAGTCAAACCTTTTATTGTAAGGATGTAGAAATGCTTTCTCCTGAGAGAGGACTCAGTCTAAACGGTTTTCCAGATAAAAGTGAGTCTGAGGATTATGCTGCCTGTTTGTTTTTTTTCGTTTTCCTTTTCCTTTGATCATCTTCTCCGGCGTTTTTTGCTCGAAGCCTGAGGATTTGGACCAATCTGCTTGAGTTTACCATCTCAGGCTTTACACATGTCGGCTCGCTAGAACATTGTGTGCGTGTGTGTGTGTCTGTGTGGATCAACAGTTGCAGCTATAAGATAATGGACTATGACTTGATTCCATTGCTCACCTTGATACTGTAGCAGATCTTTGCTCTCTTTCGATAATAGCTAATAATTGTAAGCTTAGTTTTTTGATGAGTCATGTTTCTGTCTAGTCGCTGCCTTGTGTTTTTGCAAAGCTGACGCCTCCTTTTCTTCTGCATTTATTTTTGCTTCGGCCATGTTGTCTTAAAGCACACCTTGAATCAAGAGAGATTTATTTAAATATAAAAAATAGAGTTATTAGGTGTTCTTTAGAGTTTATTTCACGATGTTTATTTCCACAGAAGAGACCCAGGAGGTGTGATTGCACAGGGATGAGAGGATTGGGTTTAAAGGAGCGGCTGCAGATCAGCAGGAGGCTGGAGGTGACTCACAATGTTTCAGGAGCCTCTAGGAGGGAGAGAAAAACAACTTTAATGTGCAGCGCTCTGCAGAAACATTCTCCTTAAAGGATGAGTCTGTCGTTATTCTTTATCTAAATTCTTACAGATTGTCTCTTAAAATGTTATGACTTCCTTTCTTTGACGTCTACAGCTCTAGCCCAATTGGATCATGAGGACGTAAATCTTTAAAAAACTGATTTTTGATTTGATTTTCTCAAACAGGAGGAAATAGTGATTTTGTTTGGGACTATGTTATAGTTTTGAATGTAAAAGGATCTCTGTGGCACAGAGGGAGAAGATAAATCATGATTTGATGCAAACACACAATACATGTTAGGAGATACATCCATTTCGAAGTTGTTGTTTTTTTGGATTTGTTGGAAAAATATAGAATATCACCAAACTTTTACTTCAACTAGGTGTTTAACCCTGAGAGAGAGAGATATCTTTGAAACAACATAGAATAACTTTACACTGTGAACAACCTGTTTAAATAGTTACAGTTGGTAAGCAACGTCAAACAAGCAAAGGACTATTTGGTGACGTACGCCATGTTTTACGGAGTCTGCAGTAGATTTTGGAATAATGGGTAAAGCTGCAACAACCACAGCTGAATATCATAGGCTGACACACCTGTCAATCAAACAAAAACAGCTGTTTCTTATGCTTAACAAAATATATGAAGTCTACTATTCTTACACCTTACTCGGGACCTATTATGCTGTTTGGGGTTTTCCCTTTTCCTGTAGTATGTTATATATTTTTTGTGCGTGTAAATGGTCTTCTAAGCTTAAAATCCAAAAGTTTTAAGGGGCGGGACATCTCTAAGCGGTTGACCAATCACAACAGTCGGCCAGCTAACCAATCAGAGCAGACTGGGCTCTGGTTTCAGACAGAGGGTGAAAAGAGGTGCCGTCACTCTTCAGCTGTGGTTGTTGCAGCTTTGTGGTCTGCTAATAAAGTTGTATACAATGGCGACGATGGATTTATGAGGCAATTTTACAGATTATTCAGATTCCTGTCGATATAGTTTTTTTTTGTTCAGCAGTGAAAGCATAAAGTGGACCAAAGAGTTTTAAGTTGCCTACTTTATTTATGTGTTGTTTGTTTGTGATGCCCAGAAAGTGTTTATGTTTTAGTTTATTAATTATTAAATTGGTAAAAAAGAGACGTGATATTACACGTTATCAGATATATTTAAGGTTTTTTTCTGGTCATATAGTTTAAGAGGATTAGTCTAAAGTACTTTAGTATATGTAATTGTTTAAAAAATTACAATTTTTTAAAGTTTAATATTAATCGTTAAGTCCCATCTTCTGCTTTAATGCAATTTATATTTATTTTTGATTGAGGCGGCACACATGTTAAATTAAATGCCTTCTTTCATTTTCTGTCATATAATCCAAGATTTTGGAAATTAATAAATGTTTTTCTTTTTATTGAATTACTTAATTTTCTATCATGTACCAGAAATACACAAGTCACACGTCATACATAGATCGAGAAAAGATGGGTTTTCAAAAATAAATACACATCTGATTTAATTAATATTATTACATTTCACAAGCAGGCATTCAGTTTTTGATCAAATACAAATGATTTCCCATTTTCTTTGCTTCGATAAAAGTACTCTTATATTAAATAATTTAGTCTGATTTCTTTGTTTCTGTTTGGGATTGAGACAGGAATGTGTGTCCGTGTGTGTCTGTGCGTCCTCTGAGCCTTGCATGCCTTCCAGCAGCCGGACGTCCCGTACACTCGTCAGCCTTAAAACTAAATTGCGATTTAGGAAAGAGACAAACCTTCTTCAGACCTTCAGGCTCTTCGTGTCGGGATCCAAACCTGTAGAGTTTTTTTTTGTAAAAGGAAGCAGCTTTCTTTTGTTTTGCTTACAGATCTTTAAGAATATTTGCACCATGTTGATGTGTGTACCTGTTGAGTATATTTATTTGAAAAGAGGAATAAATATTTCTGGACATCACTGAATTCTTTTTGGTTATTTATTATTGTTGCTTTTAAAGGGGACCTATCATGCAAAATGCACTTTTTGATGTCTTTTATACATAAATATGTGTCTCCGGTGTGTCGGGGAACTCACGCAGCGTCAGAAAATAAAACCCTTTCTCTTTTCCTCCGTACCCAAATATTTGAAAAACAGGGGTACA